TGATTGCTGCTGATGCTTCAAAGGAATAAGAAATGCTGTCTTGTCATTTTAGAACCCATTGTTGGACACTATCAGTTCAAACGAGCCAATTTTAGCAGTGTGTTGCCTTCTATGATGAATATTGCAGCAGCGTTATTATCTGACAGATCGCGCGCTGCTTTTTCACCATATGCCCTTGCTTCTCTTCCCTTTATTGGAATTTGTTGAAATATCACTGATATTTTACACACGCCTTCGCTGTGTGGTATACGAGCCGTTCCCGCTACCCCATCCAGCACAAAGTTTGATGGCTTTGCAGAACACCATTGGTCCGTAAACACTTAAGATGAAGGCAGCTCTATAATGTTGCAATGCCCCTCACGGAGTGCTATTGTATTGTACAAAAGAGTGTGCAGGGCTTAGACAGTGAAATGTACAGTGCAATGTAGGGATTATTTTGATCCCTAGGCCCACTGCACTGAAACTACCCATGCACTTTTTGCTTGCACCCTGACTCCATTACCGATTGATTTCTTCCTTTCAGAAATACTCTGCAAGGTCAGAGAAACCTTTGAAGTCATCAGTCTTTTCTACTCTTAGTTTCTGTTCTCTCCTCACTCCAAGTGTTTTTCTTCTTGTTAGTCTCTTCAGCGAGTCCTTCTCCTTACTCTGTCAGTCATGCATGCCCATCATGGCTGCGACTACCTGAGCTGAACATTCTGTTCTCTGAAGAACCAATCAGGGGAGAATAATTTAAGGGCATAGAGGCGCACACCGGGGGAAGAGCAAAAGCATGCCATCGCAAACAGGGTTGTCGGATTCCACCCGACATGAACAGTGAAGCCACAGGGGAGATAAATATAAAGAGCAGTGCTCTGTTTCAGTTTCTGTTGTATCATCCAATGATTTAAGTACAAAATATGCCACGGTGCTACAAATCCAGGTCAGGATTTGAACTACGATTAACCTGTAGATTATGAAAAAGGGTGAAAAAACAAGTCTTCTTTTATTTATTTACCTTTAAGTTGAAATTAAAAGACAGTTGTCACATAGGTGTTTAACAGAAGTATACTTTTTAATAAAAATGTCAAGCATTATGTGTAATTGCATATATCAGACAACAAAAAACAGACATGTTTGTGTTTTTTGTGCCTGTGTTTGTGTGTCCTCCACCTGTGAGCTTCAGTGTGAACCAGGCATGTGGTAGTCTTACTTCAAGAAATCTGCTCGACTGCTTACCCCATTCGTTTTCATTTGTGCTGCTCAGCTGAACACTGGAACTAAGTTTGGAAGCCACCGAACACCCTGTCTGCTTTTCGTAAACAAACTTCTACAAAGGCTTAGAGGAGCGAGAGAAAATTTGGCACAAAAGTAAAGCAGCAAACAGTGATGACAGAAGGGATGAAGGCAGGAGGAAATCGACGCTTTTACAATGTAAATTGAAGAGTGTAGCAGAGGACCTGAAATCAATCAGCATTACCTGGATCAGCAGCGGTATTTAAAGTTGAACTTCTAATGCCCGGGATATGGTTTTGTGTTGCCATCTCTTCCACTCTAGTTTGATGGGTCTAATTAAGTTTTTGCATTTTTGCTTCATAAACAGCTTGGCTTAGGCTATGAGGGGATATGCAACCCAAAAACACAGCTAAGCACATTAGCTATATCTGTCCAGCCAGCTGTGTTTGTCCCACCCACCAATTCCCCTTCATAAGCTTGCCCTTGATGTGACTTTTAAGTTAATTTTGTGCACAGACGCTGGGCCGGAAGAATCCAAGCCAGCTGGATAAGTGGTAATTAGGATTCACATGAATCTCAGAGCAATAACATTTCTTTCTTATGTATAGAAATAGAAAAGAAAATTGGTAAAAGAAGAAACACCAGTGTAAATGAATACAAATAGATAACAAAGGATTATGTTTCCTTTGTTTGTGGCCAGCAGACTCTCACTTTAACCCCCAGCGGAGCGTGTGTTTTTGTTTTATTACTAATCTTTTAATATCCCTGAAAGCTACAGAAGAAGACTTTTATGAATGTGATATGCTGCACAAAATGAGATTTGGGTGTTTAGGAGCTCTGCTGGCCAGGTAAACAAAGGCTTCCCAGACTATAGACACATAGATCGGGCACTATCCCAGCTTCCTCCCGCATCCAGAGGATTACATTTCATCCCGGAGATGGGTGCTCCAAAGCCTTGTGGTTATTGCGCCTTGCCCTCCCTGTTGCTACACATAATCGCCACAGCTTGAAAGAGCTCATAAATCAGGCTACCGCAATAAATTGTAGAGGGAAAAATGTGCACCCCTGGCATTTGAAGCAGCACATTGCCAGCCTATGAGCGAGCCAATTCTACCCACCGCATTCAACACAGGGAAACAAAACACATAGAAGGTTTGGTGGCTTTCTTTGACATTTCTAGCATGCCCACTCACTTCCCCCTCCCTGTGTGTTTGTATGTGTGGGTTGCTCCATCCTTCTGTTGTTTCCAAGTGTTCATAAAATGTATCATGCTACTTCCTCACTGGCATGCGTTTCTGTTATTTACCAAAGCATCATAACAATGTCTTAGCTGTAATTCTTAGATTTTCTTTTCTCTGTCTTTAGTAAATACTCTTACAATGAGAGCAGGTCTGATTAGATTTCCAAATGCCAGCTTTACTTAAATGCTTATTATTGGAAGGGAAAAATGCATCCAGTAGGTAATTTTAAAAAAGTCTCGAATAGAGAAACACAAGTCTGAAACATTGCATTTTATAATAATATAACTCAGTAATGCAAACTGTAAATATAGCAACCATGGTTCTCTTGCAGCAGTGTGTGTGTGTGTGTGTATTTCCTGGTTGGAATCCGACTTCTACAGTAACTTTGCAGGGTCTTTTCTGATGTCTTTGCTTGTATCTACCTGTTATCTTGCTTTTCTTCTTCTGCCAGGGAAGATCAATGAGTTTGAGGTAAAAAGCTAGGGCTTGGTGCTTAACTGAGGTTGCCAGGCATTGATGTTCTGCAAGCTCTTCACTCAGTCTCAGGGCTGTCCTGAGAGATAAGGCCCATGGCCTGCTTAGGCTGATCAATGGCAGAATCCATACAAACTCTCTCCCACACGATGTACTTTCTTTGTCATTAACTGATTTTTTTTTTCTCTCCTCTTATCAGTACCCTTTGGTTAAGATCTTACCCATTATGTGTCATAATTGTGGAAATGGGAGTATTAGCAATGCAGAACAAAATGGGCTACCTTTTAATGATTCTTTATCCGTAAGCAACTGTTTGAACATTATATAATATTGAATGGCTGTGTGTCTTTGAATGTTAGAACATGCAGGTTTGACATTTTTGGACAATTTCTAACTGCAGTAGATATGAAAAGGAACAAATGCAAATGAAATGCAGACTGTCAGCTTTTAAATTATCATGATCATACATAAGCTGTTAATTTTTAATACTTTGAAGAAATCTTTTAGAGGCAATGACTATCAAGTCAAGGAACCATGGATGTCACCAAAATGAGTTTTTCTCCATTGTGATGTTTTGCTGAACCTTTTCCTGCATCCGTCTTTGGTTATTGTTTGATCATGGGTTAATTTCCCCTTAGTTTTACCTGTTTACCAAGTGAAATGTCTTCTAGATCAGGTTGAAATCAGATGACTGACTTGGGCAATTGAAAATATTCTGTTACTATTGGATCTCTATCTGCACTGTCCAGTCGGTTATGCTTAATTAGGACGCATCTGTTTAAAATGGATAGCCCTAAACACTTTGGGATAACTTTGGAATATAACCAGTAAGAACTAGTGACCCGTTGCCATTGGAAACCACTAAGTTTGCTGTTTTTTACAGATGATTATGTTTCTGATGTTTCTGATTTCTGTTTCTGATAATAAGCCATCCACAGTTTTTGTGTCATTCTGTTACTGGCTAATCTTATCACCTGGCAGATGAAAAGCTATGTTTTGACATGTGTGTGTTTATTTGGCAAAGTCTAATTTGGCCTTTCTTTCGGTGAGACTGATCATTGGTTTGTACCTTGTGCTGAGCCTTTTTGTTTCCCTTACTAAGTCCTGAATATTGTGATGGGAATTTACTTTAGCATATGACTGATGCGGATGATCTGATATCCTCGTGTTGGTGTTGTTCCCAGATCATCATGAAAATGTTGTTCCAGGTTCAACATTGCAAGTGACCAATCACATTATTGTGACGTTATTCTTTTGCGCACCAACCCATTCGTGCATTTATGAAATTCCAATGTTGCAAGGACAATATCAATTTTGCTTAGCGTTTATTAAAGGGTTAGGGTCAGGGTTAGGGTCCGTTGATCGGCGGACAAAGGCGGTTTCTCGCAGCTTAAGTACAGTTTTTTGTTTTACGCCGGTTTTTCCCGAAGTCGCAAAAGTATGACATCACAACATTCTGATTGGTCACTTGCAATGTTGATCCTGGAACAACCTTTAGTATGATGATCTGGGAACAACACCAACACGAGGATATCAGATCGTGCAACTGATGCTGTGATCATTACTATTGATTTCAATGAAAATCTAAACCTTATGCTGTTGAGTTCACCATTGTGTTGTTTTTCACAGAATGTGCCAAACTATTGATTTGGCCAGTTCTAGAGTTATGTTACTTTAAACTGCTTTAAAGTGGATAGTTCAAATACATTTCAAGCCTCTGAAAGTAGAGGACTATGGTTTAAGCAGTGTTTTTGTTCAACTCTTTGAAGCAAAGATAAAGCGTATGCATTGATTTTATTCCTCTTCCTTTGTCCTGATTGTTTCATTTCAAATCTATCATGGTGCTCTAGAAAGGCAAAATTGCGTAAGTGTCACAAAAACACATGGACCTAAGTGTAATACAAGCATTGTCTCCTAGTGAAGGTCTCTCCTTTACCTTGTTCATCACAGCCAAGGCAAATGCTGTCGTAAAACATGATGTCTGAAAGATTTCTGCACCGTCTCTGCATCGTGCACACACTAATTCATTGTTCTGTTTTTCACCACTTCCCCCAACCCTTATATCTTTAGCTAAGGTCAAGTCAAAGTGTTCTCCTACGTTCTTCGCCTGCGCTAACGGTGTCCACTGCATCATTGGACGCTTCCGCTGCAACGGCTTCAGTGATTGTCCTGATGGGAGTGACGAGGAAAACTGCAGTAAGTCTCACATGACACCCAGATCCATGGATCTGTGGCCAGATGATGCCATGTCTTGTTTATATCAAAGCAGATCTAAGCAACATATGGAATATATATGTTGTACGTCTTCTGTTCCTCTGGTGGAGCTTCATCAAATCTGAGAAAATAACCCTGACGTCACCATCAGAGTTATGTTTAATGGGCTTGGAGTCTATAAATTTCAAACAGGTTAAAGGAAAAAAAATGCAGGCTCCATTGCTTGGAGAGATTAATACACACTAAAAACTAAAGTATAAATATCTCTCTGCTAAACAGCCCTTTTAAAATTATAGCAGTTTTAATGTGTTTTTTTTTCTTCAGCAAAATTATAGGGGTGCAACTAACAAATATGCTTCTGCAGTAAACTGTAAAATACTTTTGCTTAAGCTTAATGGATTTGCCACACCCCTATTAGTACCAAAAATTTCAGCTAGTTACAATAATAATATAAATGCATCTCTGTATTACAAATGAGAAGATTCAGAGCGACTGCCCTTCCGGTGTCTGTGTCTAATGAGTCTGGAGAGTCCATTCAGTTCATATGTTGACAAACTTTTCCGTCTGTAATCGGTGTGATTATGGAATCTTTTCCATTAGATATACAGCACTGTGCAAAAGTTTTAGGCAGGTGAGGAAAAATGCTGTAAACAAAGAATGCTTTCAAAAAAGTGTTAATCTTTTATTTTCTTCAATCAACAAAATGCAGTGAATGAACAACAGAGAAATCTAAATCAAATCAATATTTGGTGTGACCACCCTTTGCCTTCAAAACAGCATCAATTCTTCCAGGTACACTTGCACACAGTTTTTGAAGGAAGTCAGCTGGAGGACATCTTGGAGAACTAACCGCAGATCTTCTGTGGATGTGGGCTTCCTCACATCCTTCTGTCTTCATGTAATGCCAGACACACTCGATGATGTTGAGATCAGGGCTCTGTGGGGCCAAACCATCACTACCAGTACTTCTTGTTCTTCTTTATGCTGAAGATGGTTCTTAATGACTTTGGCTGTATGTTTGGGGTCGTTGTCCAGCTGCAGAATACATTTGAAGCCAATAAACAATCATTTATATTTCTGAAAGCATTCTTTGTTTACAGCATTTTTTCACACCTACCTAAAACCTTGGCACAGTACTGTATGCTGCCAACAACCTCTATCTATTCCTCTTTTGTGGGGAGGTCTGGTTGTAACAAGTGTCTGGTTAGAGCTTTCCTACCAGCTGATATCAGGACACCAAATAAAATACTCAGTCAAAATATACATTTCTATTTAAATGAAAATCGGTGTTTCCCAACAAAAAGACATTGAACTGGAACGGTATGTTACTTTGATAACCACAATTAGCTTCATAATTTCCACAGAGCCTCCAACACTCGGACTTCTCTGTTGAAATGTGAACTTTCTGCTTTGGAGTAATAAAAAAAATCTTATTAGGCATTTCCACCCAAATTCTCTCCATGTATAAGAATTTACAGCAGCTAGACTATTCCTCTTTTGAGATTACAAAATTTCTTTCATTTTCCCATTTATGCTTTATGTTTTCTTTGGATTAAGTTGGGTTTTTTTGTATAAACTTGATATAATGCCCCTGTTCTAAAGGGAGTATGTTACTCTTAACATTTCTTTAATCGCTAAGTCATCATTATGCATGTGGTTTTTATAGTTTGGTCAAAGTAGTAGCGTAGCTGAAGATATCTGTAGAAATTTTGCTTGGAGGGCTTGTAAGTTTTTCAGGGTCGATTTATCTGTTAAAGAATACTCTTTGAAATCCAGGTATTAAATCTGCTATCCATCTAGTTAGGTTTAACATCGGGGTCATGTGCACACTATTTAAATACCTTCACTTTATCCTGTAGGTTATATTCTTCTCTGACTAAGTTCCACATCTTGATGTAGCTGTTTTTATAGACAGGTTTCCACCATGTGGCTTCAACAAACCGCACAGCATTTCAGACGCTGTGCTTTTTGTCTGCTCTGTCCAACTTTTTACAAGCACTTGACAGGTTTTGAAAACCTTGTCTGCTGTACCAGCCCACAGTTATGTAACTTTGCAAGATCTCACTTCACTTTTTTCCCCCCTAAAGTTCCTGACAGTATGTGTCTCCTGCAGTCATAAAACAAGCTAT